AAGTGTATCTATAACAGTATGACTAATTATCTTTACATGCATTTATCACTAAATAAACTTCACACAAGACAGCAAGATTGTTTACTTAAGCAATATAATACTGGGAATGGAAGATAGCTCTAGAACATAGGATTACATTGCCAGAATGGCACTATTTATTAAGCTGTGATAACGCTAATGTTCTTCTTTGATGTATAGCATGTGCGACTTCAGCCGAACTTGTAGAGAGCCTTAAGGATGTTTCATTGAACATTTAGTATGGCAGCAAGCCAGAATACATTTAGCCTAAACCCAGATGACAGGTTGGTAATGAGGTAGTGATTGATGACCACTGCTTCCGTATGAAAACCTGCTTGATATGCTGGGGGGGAAATGCATTGCTAGCTCCTTTCATTTCACTCCCTCTGTATTACTTATTCTTACTAGTAGAGTGGCTGCTGGTTGTTCAATCCTGGTTTCATTTTTAGATGAGAATCGAGTACTCAGCTGAGATTTTAGAAGCATAGCCTTATGGGCTACATTTATGTGTAATTCAAATCCTAATTTTTATTATCAGAAATAACTGCAAATATATCACCTATGAAACACCCTATGTTATTCTTATTACCTGCCTCTTTAATTTTACAAGTCCTATGATTCACCTTCTGTGCCATCTAAATGACTTTGCTTTCCCTCGATATAAAAAGAGAAACTTGGCCCAAAGGTTGTAAAGCATTGCTCAGGCAAACAAGCTGGGATAAAAGACTCATGTTTGTTTTGCCTGGTTTTCTTGGATGCTTCACTGTAAAGACACTTTGCACTGCTTATTCAGATGATGGACAAACTGTTGTTCTGTGCACCAGGAAGGATATTTAAGCCCTGTCCTTCAGCTAGATCCCAGCCTGATATCTGAATTAGCAGTAAGAAGAATTAGGAGAAGGCAGCAGAGGACTGTAGGGGTTATATCTGTAGCTGTACACACTCAGACAGGATGTGTCCGAGTCCCCAAAGCTACAGCATAACTAATGGGATCACATTAAGGCCTGGTTAGCAATCACCCAGGGGTGCAGCAAAGGGCGCTAGGGCAGCATAAATATCCAATGTCTAAAGAGGCGCATTATTAGTGTGTTTGCAAGCAGAAGTGCCTCTTTGTCAGGAATGGGTGAGGAAACTTGTCACCCTAACCAGAGTGACATTGTACTTCCTCAGAGCAAAAATACAAGCAAGAAAAATTAGGATCAGTGGTAGAATCAAAAGCCAGAATGAGAAAGTGATGAAGCAGGGCCAGGGGAGTTGCCATTCCCCTCCTGAAGATGTCATGACCTGTGGGGGTGGAGTGCTTGGCTTTTCAACAAGGAACCAATAGGATATCAAAAACGCTGATTTGTGGTATGTTTGAGAACATGTATTGGACTCAAATGAGGAAGCCTCTATCTCTAGGGGGTGCTGATGGGCATTAGTGGCAGGACAGGTTTTGACTTAATCTTATGTTTCTGAGGCTGCTCAGCAGCCAGGAAACAGCCACCAGTAATCATTATTGTATGTTTGGGCTAGTAATGAACACTTTGGGCAAATCCAGGAGTGCTTCTGGCATGATGGAACAAGTGGGCAAGGGGACAAGCAGGCAAGGCAGGAAACCACTGGACTTTCACTGTTGTATAAACTGATGGCAAGTACATTTACTAGGATTTGTTTGGTAGCTCATCAGGAAATAGATACACCTTCCCTTTTTGAGTTTATGCTGTGGGGAATATTTTTACCTGCTTAGGAACATGTCCAGGACTGTACAGAGTAAGACCTAAGGGAATCAGTAATACCTCTTGGTGGCAGAGGGTCACTGTGGAATTGCAGTAGTCTCTGGAGGAGACTCAAAGGAAAGGGATAGTCAGTCCTGTTGTCAGGTGCAGGGAGAGGAGACAGTCACAACACAGATATGGATCCAGATATGCAGTGCTGAAGTTTATCTCTCTGTGCACAAACTAAAAATGATAAGGGCAGGAACCTTGGTCTAGGATATCCAGATCATTCAACTCCCACAGAAGAAAAAATTAACATTGTTATTTTCTTACTAAACCGTAGTCCTTTGATGCTTACTTTCTTCATGTGGCTTTCACTTTTCATCTTATTTGCAACCTTTTTGAGAACTGCTGTTTATTTAATAGTAAGTTCCTTGGGGAATACTGGTCTCCTTTTTGATTGGAAGGTACCTATATCATACATATTCAACAACAAAATAATGCTTCAGAAATTAATATATTTTAACTTAGATTTGCTGTTCAGTTGATGAGAACTTACATTCCATAAATTTCTGTGTATGGCTATAGCATCCCCAAGGCAGATGTTCTGTCCTGAGAGCTACTCAATTAGTTAATTCAAGTTTGATTTAAATGTTGGTTTCTTAGGAATTTTTGACTGGATTTGTCAAAGGTTCACACTTACTGAGACAACCATATTTTGTTGCTTGTTGACCAGTGACAGGTGGAGTAGGTCCATTGATTTTTGCTCTATTCCTGGAAAGACCTTAATATTAACAAGTGGTGGCATGTGAGGACATAGTCTCTGGGTGGAGATTAATAGCCATATGGTGTTATTGCTTATACACTGGAAAGCTTAGTTATTTACTGTAAATTTTAACTTGAAATTCTATACGCAAAGCGGAGACTCCTACTTGATTTGTTTCCATAACAACATACAAAACAACATCAATCACTTATAGTAGATCTCCACACTCCATAATTAGGGATGCAGTTTTAAGAAGTGTGGGAGGAGTTGTATAAAATGTTTTTATGTTAAAAACAACATTAGGCCTTGTTCTCAGAAAAGCTTATGCACAGACTTCACTTTACACAATGTAAGTAATTCCACTGGCATTTATGACTATGTCTACACAGCTCTGATGCAGTGTCTGGAATGACTGCGTGCACCACACTCTGTGCCCTGACTTGAATAACTGATGTATAAACAAAGTTTGCGTGAGGGGGAGCTTGCATTCTGTATATGCAGCAAACTTGGTCTTGACTGGGGGTTTACCTCAGCAGACAGTGTCAGCAGACCAGTTCAGTTTACACTGCATGGGCTTCAGTATGAGTCTAAATGCTTGCAGTACAGCAACTTCTCATGTGGTAGAAAAGTGATACTAAGAAAAAAACTTCTCAAAGCACTTGCTTTATGCAAAAAAAATAAAAAAATAATAACTATGGTCCCCATGTGTTGCCTGATCTAGTTGAGAGGCGTCCCCGCCCATGACAGGGAGGTTGGACTAAATGATCTCTAACGTCCCTTCCAGCCTAGGCCAGTCTATGATTCTATGATTAGCTGTGTATCTTTTTAATGTAGAATTTTAAGCCAAAAAGGTATGCATGTTTTTCACTGGTATTGGGCATGGTCATGCTGTCTCCACACCTACAGTACAGCAAGCAATGACTTCATAACTTCTTCACTGAGCCAGTTCTATGGCTCCATTGATCACTTGCAGTGATCTACAGCTTGAGGAAGTTCAAAATTATCAAGTATGAGGTATTACTTCTCCACTACACTTTGCTAGAAATGTTTTGGTTGTTTGTTTTTGTTTTTTTTCTGTTCTGGTTTGAGAGAACCAGGATAAAATTTCTCTGGGGCTCCTGGCACAGGTAGCAACACAATGAGGGAGGAGGGGCAGCTGTGCCCATCGGTAGGAGAGGATGGGTCAGATGACCCAAACAGATCAACCACAGTGTTCCTTCCCATGGTGCTCAGTATAAAAAGGCCCTTAAGGAGAGCCTTGGGGCTTTTAGTGCTGCTGTGCTGGAAGAATTGCTGTTGGTTCTTTGGCTTCTCTCCCTGTGCTGCTGGTATTCCTGCCTCCTGTTTTCATGCTACAGAGGTGCACTGTTCAACAGAACAGGTTGTTTTCCCCCACCTCCTTGGGTGGGAGTGGCACAGCTCCTTTTCTGGTTTTCTTTTGGACTGTTATTGGAACTCTGGGCTCAGGCACTCCTGTCTGCTGCCAAGTCCAGTCTGGAGCTTTTTTTGCTACTCTGGACTTAGTTGTCCTGTAGAGGTTGTAGGTTCCATATGACCATATTCTCTTGTGTCCTTGAATATGTTTGCATGCTTGTATAATATCTGTATATATTTCAATATCTTCATTGTTATTCTAACTGTTTTCTTTTTCGTTACACTGGTACAAGTTTTTTCAACCTCAAAATCTCTCTCCCTGGTTACTCTATTTATTTGTTTGTTTAAAAAAACACATACATCATATTTTCTATATTTCTATAAAGTAACAACCTGGAAAACCCTTTAAGTTCTGGCATTTTTTAAGGCAATGATGTAATTATATTGTAAGAAATCATTTTCTTCAGCGCATCTTGTAGCTGACAAGTCCCTGAGTACCTAGGAAAGTGGTGTTTAAGTCTTATTACTTACAGCTGGTTCTAAGACAATGCTGGTAGTGCAAGCCTGGAAAGGCAAGTCTGAAGGGGAAAACTATGCAAAAAATGAGAGAGAGTTGGAAAAAATAATAGATGAATAGGAGGCAAACAAGAAAAAGACATCTAGAAGGAAATTAATTTAAAAAAAATATCGAAATATAAAGGAAGAAAAATTAGATATAATAGAATGAATAAATTAAAGCAGATTGAAGAAATAAATCTAAAAGACATGAGCAATATTCATAAAGATTATACAAATGGAAAAGATTAAAATAAAACAAGAAGATCCTATAGCTATTTTAGCCACATTTTCAATGATTTCCTTCCTCTGATAATGTAGATGTCAGGCTGGTTTTTTTTTTTTTCTTTAAAGATGAAGAACAAATGAATGGAATAGTTGTATTTTGCTGAATTTAGATCCTTTCTGTTCTTTGTAAAATATTATTTGTCACATATATAAAATAATCTAAATTTAACAAAAATTTTTTAAAAAGTATGTAAGTACCTCTCAGGATTGGTCATCTGGAGTAAGCTGAAAGATCAGGAAATGTGTGCATTTTGCAGTTGAGTGAACTCTGTGATATCAGCCTCCACAATAAAAAAATTCACCTTTTGTATCCTCTTCTTCAGGAACCTGTGGTAGAGATTTCTCATGGCTGGCTTCATAGATTTCAAAGGGTGATTTCAAAGATCTTATACTTCCTCACCACAGCCTTATTTATGTCTTTAATGACTCCGTTAATCTACTCCTGATCTCATATTCTTCCAAATTCTTCTGGAGTTAAGGGTGCTTTTTTAATAAGTCTCATCTCTTTCATCGGTTTCTTTGCAGGTTCAGGTTCTATGACTTTTGTTTGTTCTTCACATTTTGCTGTTAGTCCAGTGATGCAGCACTGAGTCGGTTTTGACAGAGAAGGAGGTATGTTTTCATAGAAGTGCTGTGCTTCCTCCTGATCTCTCTCATTGAATTTCTGGAGCTCTTTTAGCCAATTCTTCATTTTTTCATGCTGCTGAAATTCACACTACGGTTTATCCAGATACTCACGCATGAGAACCATCTCATGTCTGATTTTACAGAGCATAGATTTGATGGCTGGTTCTTGACCTATATTTCTTAATCAAAGAATATTTTTAATAGTTGAAATTGTGTTGATGTGAAAGCCCAAACCTTCCAGGTCTGAGGTCACCACATCCTCGATTGTACCTCTGCGGTGACCAGAGCTGGCTGGCCAGGACAAGGCGGAGGAGGAGAATAAGGAGTAAGGTAGTTCCTGCTGGCAGGCCCCACCTTTCCTGGGTGACAGCGCCAATTTGAAGCTGCCATGCCTGTTGTACCACCGTATAAAGGGTGACTACCAAGAAGAAGACAACTCCTTTTTTATGAGCATTCACAGGGATAATGGGTAAAAGTTGCTTCTGGGGAAATTCTGATTGGACTCCAGAAGAAATTTTTTTACTGTGAGAGCAATCAGACATTGGAATAGTCTTCTAAGAGACGTGATGGATTCCCTAACATTAGAGTTTCAAGGCTCAGCTTGAAAGGGTGCTGGGCCATCTCGTGTAAACTGTATTTCTTTACCTTAAAGGGTTGGGCTGCATAATCTTTGAGGTCCCTTCCAACCCAGTAATCTATGATGATTCTATGTATTTTGAGGATTTTTAGATCGGTTTTGATTATATTACTTATTCCACTCGGAGAATAAGCATATTATGTCAACTACTATGTTGGGTTTGTTGGGTTTTTTTCAAAACGTAATTAGAACACAGCTAAGGTTGCTAGGTGACAGATAAAAGAAGATGTGTAATTAGACATGTCCAAAAAAAATCAAATAGTGGAAACTAGTAATCATGAAGGAAGGTTGCTATTGTCTGTGCTGACACCAAATGACCATCTCATTCAAATGTACAGTTCATTAAATAGTCACCTCCTGCTCTGCTTCTGCAGCTGTGCTCTAACTACTCTGTGTGGAGTCTGTGGAAATAGGGGGACTTTTAATTAGGTGCTAATTTCAATTTGCTGTCTGAATATACCCTTTAACAATGTGTTATTCCTTGTTTTTTAATATTAGCATTCATGCACATTTCCCAAAGAGAGAGGATGTAGCTGCTCACTGATACATGAGAGCCTTTACCTCTATCTGCTCTGTGTGGGCTACTGGCAAAATAGCTATGACATGACATGGCCTGTAGATGTGATCCATTTTCTTAAAATCAAGGAAGGGAAAATAGTTGCAAAAAGAAGACTGTTACAGTAATTAATAGATGCTGGAGGCTTGATTCCTGTCTCTAGTCCTTGGGAAGCTCCTCCAGTACTCAAGGGCTTTCTAAGACCATAGAAAGTGGCCTTTCAAGGGCATTCCCCACTTTGCTCGGCACATTGATTCCTGTGTCCAGGTGCCTCCAGAGCTCCAATTGCAAGGAGATATCTGTTAAGATAATGCTTGTACTGGCACTGCTGTAGCCCATATGCTTCCCAGACCATAATGATTCTGGTATGAAAGATCCACTCTTCCAGCATTTTAAAATCCTATTGTGTGAATGCCCATGGGCTATAACAACCTCACTACTAATGTGTGGTCTTCAGCAAATCACTGTGGATTTCTTTGCACGTGTGTAAAGGACAAGGATAAGTGTTTATCTGTTATCCAAATACTGGATATTTTGAGGACTGACTGTGTAGCACCTTGAGAACAGAAAATGCTACAAACAGTAGCACTGTTGTTACTATTGGTATTGAAATAACTCATGCAGCCAAGCGTAGAGCTTGCTGTCTGCCTGATTTGCATTTCTGCATGTGATGAAAATATGAAGGTGTTGCTATAATATTCATTTTATAAATTATATGGCTCTTGCAATACAGCCAGAAGTTCTGCATGCTGCATTTGTTACATGTTTAATTACAAGGCTTCAGAAATTTTAAATACTCAGTTTTCTTCCTTTCTTATTCAGTGTCATGATAGCATTACATTTATGGCATCTTTCTGATATCTCCTTTTACCAAGTGCATTGTTCTCTTTGTCTCTTCCCAGGTTTTTAAGTAATCTTAGTTAGATATATAGAATCATAGAATAGTTTCATCTGGAACAGACCTTGAAGATAATCGAGTCCAGTCTTTGACCCAGCCCTATCAACCTAATAAAATATGTCTCCCAATGCAACATCTAGTCATCTCTTAAACACTTCCAGGGACAGTGACTCAACCACCTCCCTGGGCGCCTTGTTCCAATGGCTGACAACCCTTTCAGTAAAGAAATACTTTCTAATATCTAACCTGAACCTCCCCTGCTGCAATTTAAATCCATTTCCCCTCCTCCTATGACTCTCCACTAGGGACAACAGACCAACTCCTGCCTCTCTACAACCTCTCTTTAGGTAGAGAGTGATGACGTCTCCCCTAAATCTCCTCTTCTCTAGGCTAAACAGCCCCAGATCCCTCAGCCTTTCCTCATATGACTTGTGTTCTAAGCCCTTTACCAGCTTGGCAGCCCAACTCTGTACCCTCTCCAGCACCTCGATGTCCCTCTTGTAATGCGGGGCCCAAAACTGGACACAGTACTCAAGGTGCAGCCTCACCAAAGCTGAGTAAAGGGTCATGATCACCTCTCTGCTCCTGCTCACTACACTATTTCTGGTACAGGCCAGGATGCTGTTGGCCTTCTTGGCCATCTGGGCACACTGCTGGCTCATGTTCATCTGGCCATCTATTAAGACCCCCAGGTCCCTCTCTGCCTGGCAGCTCTCCAGCCACTCCTTTCCAAGCCTATAGCGCTACTGGGTATGGTTGTGGCCAAAGTGCAGGACCTGGCATTTGGCCTTATTGAATTTCATTGACTTGGCCTTGGCCCAGCGATCCAGCCTATCCAGATCCCTCTGTAGAGCCTCCCTACCCTCAAGCAGATCGACACTTCCACCCAGCTTGGTGTCATCTGCAAACTTACTGAGGATGCACTCTATCCCCTCATCCAAATCATTGATGAAGATGGTAAACAGGAGTGGCCCCAGTACTGAGCCCTGGGGGACACCAATCATGACCAGCTGCCAGCTGTATTTAACTCCACTGACCACAACTCTTTGGACTTGACCATCCAACTGGTTTTTCCCCCAGTGAAGCATATGTCCATCCAAGCCAAGAGCAGTTAATTTCTCTAGGAGAATGCTGTGGGCCACAGTGTTGAATACCTTACTAAAGTCATATGATTTTACTTTTATTAATTAATATTCCCCTATTCTGTAAAATGTATGTGATTAGGAATTTTGGTTTTGCTATGGTATTCTAAACTATCTGTGTAAATAACTGAATAAGAAAGTAAATAGCGAAGTCCCTCAAACCTTCCCTGCGGTGCCTCAATAGTAACTTCTTTTTATCTTGCAAAGACTGCATTTAGAAATAGTTTTGTTTCTTGCCCCTTCAGCAGTTTCTTAATTCAGATATTCTGAAATGTGATTCTGTTCATTACTTTTTTTGTGAGCTGTGAGTCTAAAAGTCACTTTTTCTGTTAAATTGATGATGGAGATAACCACGAAAAAAAGCAAGTGTCTGATATATGAATATATATCTGCTCAACATCTGATTGCAGACTCAAGATGTTATCCTAATCCTTATCTTAAAAAATTTGAGGACATGAGTGTTTGGAAGGACCTGTGCTTACAGGTGTGGAGCTATATCTGTGCATATGCTTGGTGGTGTGATTATCAGTGCAGGGTTATTAAGCTGTTAGTTTTCATCACACGTACTATACCTTTAACATACAGATCTGATTTTGCATTTGAATGCATGAGGGAATACCTGTTTTCTACTTAAATGTGTACTGTAATCAGAAGTAAAATGGTGGTTTACAGAATGCTGAAATCGGAGGTAGATTGTGGGTTTTTTAGCAGTGGATTCTGTTTATCTGAATCTGTCTCTCCTCACACAACTGTTGTTGTTGCTAAGGTTAATTAAAGTTATTCTGTGGCAAGTGTTCATGCAGGCATGGTCTAGTTTAATATGTGAAGCAAAAGTAATTTATCATTAAAAATACCGATGTGAAAGGCTTGGTTTTGGTGTAACTGCTTTGTCAATAGGACAGTGGATGTACAAATCAAGATTTTTCCATCTGCGTGATGGGCATTTTACATGGACTTCGAGGAAGCTCCAGTATCGAGCAGTATCAGTTATAACCTATTAGAAAATGACATCAGAGGTAGAGTTACTGTTCTTAGATATTGCAAATGTCCACAACTGTAGGTAGTGGTATTTAAGAAGTTGATTTTAAGTACTAATAACTTAAATCATCTGAGAATGGAGGAAAATTGCAGTCAGTTTTTGAGATAAAGTCCTTGGCTTTGTCCTACACTCCTATTTTAAAAGATTAAGACTAGAGCTGAATTCCATCACTTACTGGGAAAAGGACTGAGAGTGGCAACATCTTTCTGCAAACAGGTATGTGTGGTGCTTGTCATAGAACAAAACCACTGACCACCAGAGATGAAACTACAACTAGATATAAATTATTGCAAGAAACCAGTGTCCATACAGTTCATGCACAAATGCAGATGCCACCAGAGTTGGCTCACACTATACAGAACGATAGCAAACTAATCATGGACAGTGATCCTACAAAGGTCACCTCAAAGCTTTTAGGTTTTAAGGGGAAAGAGGAGGATTCGTGGCCTGTGCTCACTCACCTCTTAAAGTGAGGGCACTCAGCCTCGAGGACCATCTGTGGTAGGAGTCCCTTGCCATGGGAAGGGCCTCATGGCACAGACCCGTGGCTCCAAGAGGACTCTAAGTGGGCTCCAGCAGGACTCCATTTGTACGCAGGTTGGGTTAGGGCTTCCGGTTATGCACAGCTTTTGTCGATTGAGGGTGTCTCCTTGGTGGGCTCCTTGGCAGCGGTCACTAGGGACTGCTGGGCTCTCTGCGTGCCTGCCCTGTAGCGCACGCACTTCCTGCCAAAACTGCCTCCACCTCCCCAGCGCTGCCGTCACACCCACGGTGGGGTGCCTGCCGCAGCACTGAAGGGAAGTGCAGGAGGAGGTTTGGGAGCAAAGAAGTTTCAAAAATTGACTTTCCAGCCTTGTGTGAGAGCTATGTTTTATAGTTCTCCATCCCTGAACTTCATCGGTAGGTGATTCCCAGTACACTGCCACTGGCTAGGAGGGCTCTGTAACTGATGGAAGCGTACAGGGCCTGTACAAAGTTCCTGAGATGCCTTTGAATTTCTCTTAATTTTCTGTGAATGTCTGGTCTCTGTGCCCTAATAGGGAATACTTTTATTTTACCTAACTGTATTAGTGGAGTTTTCAAATCCCTGATAAAAAAATTAAAAATGTTTCCATGGCTTAGGATTTGAACCAGAGGGTTCAAGAA